ATTTATTTTGTATAGAACAGAAAATTCAAGCTGTTTCCAAACACACCTTTCTTCCTTTTTGCTAATTCTTAACCTCCTTTTGTGTTATTCTCACACCTGTGGAAATTATACATACTTATAATATCTCATATTTTGTGTTCTTCTACTTACCAATTATACTACATTACTTTAATCTCCTCTCACAGAGAGTATTTCATCCAAACTGATGTTTGGTTTCCCTCAAGTTCAAAACAACAGCAACAAAAAAAGCATACAAAGGAATATATTAATTTTCTCAATGTTGGTTTCAAATTAAGTTAAAATGACATGTATGATTCAAATAATATGATTTCTTAATGTTATGCTCTTTAGGTTATTTATATAAAATTACCTAAGAAGATTATACATTTTCTTTTATTTCCAAAAGCTTTAAAACTCATTTGTTTTCCTTTTCTCACTTAAATCTCCAGTTTTTTTCAACATTCTCCTTAGAGTTGGATAAATAACTCAGATTTGTGGTTACATGATCCTGTATTTACAAAAGTGGATTAATTCACTTGAGCAGACAAGTTATACAGACCATTAAAACTGGCTACCTGTTACAGATGACCCAAAAGCACACAAAAGGATGGTCAACATCACTAACTAACTAGTAAAGAGATGCAAATTAAATCTACAATGAGGTATTACCTCACACAGTTCAGAATAGGCATCAACAAAAAATTTAGAAACAATAAATACTGGAGAGGGTGTTGAGAAAAGAGAACCCTTCTACACTGTTCATGGCTATGTAAATTGGTAAAGCCACTATGAGGAACATGGAGGTTCCTTAAGAAACTAAAAACAGAGCTACCATATAATCCAGCAATCCTACTCCTGGACATATGTATGGAGAAAACTGTAATTCAAAAATATACATATTCTCCAATGTTCATAGCAACACTGTTTACAATAGTGAGGGCATGAAAGCAACCTAAATGTCCACTGACAGAGGAATGGATGAAGAAGATGTGGTACATGTATACAATGGAATATTACTCAGCCACAAAAAAAGAACAAAATACGCCATCTGCAGCAACATGGATGGACCTAGATATTCTCACACTGAGTGAAGTAAGTCAGAGAAAGAAATATCATTTGATATTACTTACTTGTGGACTCTAAAAAAATGGTACAGATGAGCTTATTTACAAATCAGAAATAGTCACAGATGTAGGAAACCAACGTATGGTTACCAAGGGGCCTCTGTGACAAATCAGCTGGTAAAGAGCCCGCCTGCAGTGCCGGAGACCTGGGTTCCATCGCTGGGTGGGAAGATCCCCTGGAGAAGGGAGAGGCTACCCACTCCAGTATTCTGGCCTGGAGAATTCCATGTACTGTATAGTTCATGGGGCTGCAAAGAGTCAGACACAACGGAGCGACTTTCACAAAGGAAGGGAAAAGCTTGGAGACTGGAACTGCCATATGCACACGATTACATATAACATAGGTGACTAATAAGGACCTACTGCATTGCACAGGGAACTCTGCTCAATGTTCTGCAATGACCTATGTGGTGAAAGAATCTAAAACAGAGTGGATATATGTAAATGTGGGATTCCCTGGAGGCTCAGACAGTGAAGAATCTGCAGGCAACACAGGAGACCTGGGTTCAATCGCTGGGTCAGAATGACCCCTGGAGAAGGGACTGGCAACCCACTCCAGTATTCTTGCCAGGAGAATTCCATGGACAGAGGAGCCTGGCTGACTATAGTCCATGGGGTCGCAAAGAGTCAGACACACTGCAAGCTCACACACACACATCCACAATTCACTTTGCTATACAGCAGAAACTAACACAACATTGCAAATCAACTACACTTCAATAGAAATTAAAATAAAACTGGCTATGTGAATTTAGGGAAGAAATGGTTTCATTTCATAAAAATATAGAAATTAGTTGATATACTTAATCAACCAACTACCAGTAATAAATAAAAAATTTTAAAACCCTAAAAAAAGCAAAAAACTAGTATTAATTTTAGCTGTTACTGACTACCTATGAAATCACTATAAAGTCACTTCACCTCTTTTCCTAGAGGGTGTGTGCAAGCGTGTGTGTGTGTGTGTGTGTTAGTCACTCAGTCGTATCTGACTTTTTGCTACCCCGTGGACTGTTGCCTGCCAGGCTCCTCTGTCTATGGAATTCTTCAGGCAAGAATACTGGAGTGGGTTGCCATTTCCTTCTCCAGAGGATCTTTCCAACCCAGGGACAGAATCAGGATCTTCCACATTGCAGGTAGATTCTTTACCACCTGAGACACATGGGAAGCCCTGTCCTAAGGTTCTACATGGTAAAAGAAGGGATTCACAACTTGAACATTCCATTTGCAAGTGTCCAGGTTCCTTTACATATATAACGTAATTTCAACCCTTAGTTTTGTATCTGTTACATTGTAAACACCTCCACTTACACACAAACACACCCCAGTGACATTTCTATTAAGGAAAACTTTTAGGAAAAAAAAAATGTAAAAATTTCAAAATAACAACCAGGCATTTTTCATATATTGACTGTGGAAGAGTAACTGGTACAGTCTTCCCTAAAAGTCAGTGTGACATTACCTATCAAAAATCAGAATAAGGAAGCCCTTCTAACCAGTGTTTTCATTTCTAGGAATGAAGACTAAAGAATGACTTGCATATTTACATAAACATTCATGTCCAGAGATATGTATTGCAACACTGGATATATAGTAAGCAGTTCATACTTCAGCCCAAACTTGAATTCTTGATTTCCTCTCCCAATTCTGCTCTACCCAATCTTCCACATGAGAGTAAATGGCCCCAATTGGCCAAACCAAATATGAAGGAATCATTACCCATTACTTCTTCACAATCAATCCACTATAAAGACCCATCTCTTTTTCCTCCAAAATACATTGAAAATCAGTCACTCCTCTAAATCTCTACTGTTAGCAACCCTACCCCAGCCACCTTTACTGCTCACCTGAACTATAGTGAAAATCTCCTGGGTGATTTCCTCGCAAATACTCTTGTCCCTCAGAACAACAGAAGCCAAATGATCATTTAAAAACATAATCATGTACTCCCCTGTGTAAAACTCTCTCATGAATTCCCATTGCATTTAAAGACAAATCCAAATGACTCACGCTGTGGTCTGCCTGCCTCTCAAGTTCATCTCATGCCACATTCTCCCTACCTTTGATGAAGTGAAGTGAAGTGAAGTGAAGTAAAGGGCAAACTGAATTTTTACTTTTATTTGCCATAGAGAAATTATTATTTAAATTATGGGTCAATTTAGAGTAAAAATTTTACAGCTCACCCAATTCCTCTACCTAATCTACTTCAACTAAAATCATGAAAAACATCAACATGAACATAGTAAAGACTTGCATGATGTACAATAATGTACTAAAAGTTTACAACCTGGTTTCAAGAACCTTCTTGGCTTCATCTCTGGCCACACACTCCTTCATTTGTGGCAATTTCCCTTTGGGAAATAGAAATTATTCAAACTGGCTGCAACACAACGGGTGTAAGGAAGACAGGAAGCTAAGAAGATGGCTGAGGACAGATCAGGCTTTTGCACTCGAGCAGGTGTTTATGTTTTAGTTCAAAGAGTTTAAGTGGTTTTTTTTTTTTTTTAAACAAAGTCTGTACACTTTAAGAATAAGTAGGGCATCTGAACAACTGGAAAAATGAAGGATTAAATTCAGGACAAAGATCACCACTTAAAGGCTATTGATACAATGATGTTTTTGCTATCACAGAATCAGTTCCGTATTTCTTGTGACACAAAAATTAAGCTTTTCCTTTACCATGAAGATATCAAAGATACTGTACTAAATCCTCCATGTCCTATTCCTAAAACTACTCCCAGAGAACGCATGTGCAGTTGACCTAATAAAATTTTATGGAATCTGTGATAATATACTAGAATCCAGTAACTGTTCTTTCTATAGGTAACACATTCACCTTATCTCATTCATTTCAAGCTGAACCACCTTTTTAAAACATCTTCTCTTGATCCATATACTTGCATATGCTATTTTTATTTCTAAAATTAAGTCTGCTTACTTAGTCAGTACACCCCTAAAACCACGCTGCATGATACATATACTTTGCTATTGAAAACACGGTCCTATTTGTTGTCAGTCTACAACTGGGAAATAGATCTTGGGAAATGTTAACACTTAAATATGAATCTTCAATACTAATACAAATATAAAAATCTTAACTTTTTAAAAATAATGGCTCTCATGCAGCAGGCCACAGTTCCCCTTTCTTCCTACTATAAGCCTTTTTTTCATTTACCTAACTTCTGAAAGCTTCTGATTTTATAGCTCTCTGATTTTATTTCAATATCTGCTATTAAAAGTCTCAGGAAGGACAAAAAGTGTTTAAAAAGTCTTTCATTTGCACATTTCTCGGGCTCTACCATAATCGATTTCCCATTAAAAAAGATACTTTGGGGGAGAAAAGAAGGACTACAATCAAACTTCCTTTCTGAGTCTTTAAAGAACGTACTGAGCGCAGGAACACTTTAGGTAACTCATGAAGTTCTGCGTCTCTAAATCAGAGTCCAAAGTGAAGCTAGTTTCAGTACTCAGGAAAAGCCCTACTCCTGTAAGTTTCACCTCTCATTCTCAAATCAGGAGTCAACAGGTCCAGGGTGCAGTGCTGTAAGCACAGCGAACAGAACTACCAAGGGGAAAAATTAGATCTTAGAGCCCCAGTGAAGCCACACCACTGGCAAAGCAAAACAGGTCATGTTTTTAAGAAAGACTGTGTATAATATGGGGAATGAGTATTAGAAGATTAAAAATTTGGAGATCCACTGAAGCAATGAACAATGCGCAATCTGTCTCTATAATCTCCTACTCCACACAAATCACATCATATCAAAGCAGCAAAAAGTGGAAAACAGTTAAGCCCTTACCTACATACCCATACAAGTGAGCTGCAATAGAGAGCCAACACAACTTCTTAAAACAAGCAGAAAGGGAACAGAAACTTACCTTTGAAAAGGGACCCAAATTGGTATTTTCCACTAAAAAATTTGGGCAGTGAAAACACAAGCGCTCCCAGCCCTATCATAAAGGATGAAAATGCAAGCCATCTTGGTTTGTGTCCTCTTTCACCAAAGAATGATACAAATAAAGACAGCAAACAGAAGGCAATGTCATAGCTTGATGATATCAAGCCCGTCAGGGAACTCTGCAATTCATAGCGCTTCTCGATAGTGGAAATACTAATATTTACTAGGCCATTCACCACAATACCTAAAAGAGAAAAGAGGAAATTTATGTGCATTATTACAACCTTACCATATAGAGTATGATCACTAAAATGACATACTAAAGTTTGTTCATTTCTTTTGATATTTTTAAATGTCCAATTTTAAAAATCTCAAAGTTTCAAAACGAAGCAAGCCAAACATATTTCCTTTACAAATCAGTTCTCTTTTAAATTATACATTTGTGAATGTTCAGTTGTTAAATAAAGTTGATGTTTATCACATACTGAATCACAGCTAACCATGTTTCTTTAAATGACAAAAGAGACTGGTAAAGTCTCATGAAGCTGATTCATTAGAGAGTTTCCAGGTATAGTATATTCCCACGGGCCTCACTTGGAAGAATACAAAACATACAGGTGATTGAGAGGTCAAATGCTAAAACTGTTCAAATTACTCAATCCTTGACTTAGTCTTATGAAAGGTGCAATTGAGTTCTCAAACCTCTATTTTCTTCTTAGAGTCATTAAAGTCATCATTTAAAAGTTCCTGGGGCAAAAACAAACTAAAAGTCTATTTCAATTACTAGCATTCTAAATCATAGGCAATGTGACAGAAAATAAAAAAACAAACAACTTACACTTCATCTGCTCATTATAACTGTGATGAAAGAATATAAAATAAACAAGAAAAAGCTGAAAATTTAAATCTAACAACAAAAATGTCCGATGACGATACTGATTATACAGAAGTTTAGATATTACTATGCTCCTGCTGCTAAGTCACTTCAGTCGTGTCAGACTCTGTGCAACCCCACAGACAGTAGCCCACCAGGCTCCCCCACCCCTGGGATTCTCCAGGCAAGAACACTGGAGTGGGTTGCCATTTCCTTCTCCAATGCATGAAAGGGAAAAGTGAAAGTGAAGTTGCTCAGTCCTGTCCGACTCTTAACGACCCCATAGACTGCAGCCCATCAGGCTCCTCCGTCCATGGGATTTTCCAGGCAAGAGTACTGGAGTGGGGTGCCCTTGCCTTCTCTGAGATATTACTATAAAGTAAAAATAAAAACCATCTGATCAAATTACAAAGTTTCAAACTGATTATTCTTTTTACTTAAGAGGCTACCATGAATTGTTTTCAATCATTAATTAATAGAAAGAGTATATCCAAGACATTATCTCTATAATCTCTTCAAATTTTGCTTTATCAAGACTGTAACTAGGAATATATTGCTAGAAACTTTACCCAAATTTTAGAAGTCCTAACATGATCTTTACTTTCATATCAGCTTAATAAATCTATACACTATAGCTCTTGAAGTTTTAAGATAAAATTCCTAAATAGCTAGGAATGGCAGATTTATAAGGAGGTATAGCTTAGTCGGTAAAGAATCTGCCTGCATGGCAGGAGACCCGAGTTCGATTCCTGGGCCAAGATCCCCTGGAGAAGAAAATGGCAATCCACTACAGTATTCTTGCCTGAAAAATCCCACGGATAGAGGAGCCTGCATGCTACAGTCCATGGGGTCGCAAGAGTCGACGCGACTTGGTGACTAAACCACCACCACCAAGGTTGTCTGAGAATCTGAAAAGTTTCCATCTAAAATCAACTTCCCAACACCCTTGCTATACTGATTAAAAATCAGTCATTAGAATTCATTGTTTTTACAGTAAAAAAAGTTTCTGATAAAGTAAATTTGAAGACTGCTATGCAAAGACAGCATTTTAAGCCTAGGATCCCAAAGTAAATTCTACAGTACATAAACTCCAAGAAATTTGCTTTTTTTAAAAAAGAAATTTCATGAAAGGCTGCATACTATGTCCACTGTAAATGCAAGAAGCTAGGAGGTACATTAGGAAATTAAATGCTAAGGCAAATACTGTTAATTTTTGATAAGTGGCTGGGTTAAGTAAACTCATTTGACAAGTTTTGGGTCTTTTTTCACAAATTAATCACCTATTATAATACTGTACTTGGAAATGGTCTTCCCAAGAATCAAGGTTGAGAAACATGATAATGTTTTCAGTCATTCAAACTTAAGCCGAAATAAGAATTTATGGAATCATTTTCAGCTCAGATTACACTTCTGAAGTTGGCGATTTCTAGGTAGGGTAACTCCAGGCTAAACTTGACACATTTCTTTAAGAATGTCAATTACATTTGATAATAATTTTAAACAATATTTTATATTAAACATAAAATGATATATTCTGGAATACTGCAGTTTCAGAATGTGTCTTAAAACACAAGATAAATTTTTTTACTTGTGAAAGAGTCGGACACGACTGAGCGACTGAACTGAATTTCTTTGAACTTTACACTTGACTTTAAGATGCTTGGTAATCACTGATTTTGGACAATTAAGGTTAAGATGCTGAGAGAGGGCCAACTTTGGTGGGGACAAGAAAGGCAGAAAAGGAAGTAACTCAAGCACAAAACTGTCACTAGGAGAAGAGCTGCAGCTGCTTCGCAATCAACAAATATTTACTCAGCACCTAACCTGTGCAAGCGACACGGAGTTGCTTTAAGACAGTGGGGCAGGAACAGGAAAAGCTAGAATATATGTCGATTCCCTATTCTTGTTAATCTTAAAAAAGAGCAATTTCAAACCCATTTTTTTTCCGATTACATTTCTTTCCATCAGTACTTGACTACCTCTTTACAAGTTTTAAGCTGTGACCAAAAAAAAAAAAAAAATCTACATACTGTCAAATCCCAGCTAATTTATAGCATGTCCTTGAAGATGCTCCATTTTAATGCCCCCTGTCCTTAATTTGTCGCCCTAGCATAAGTTCCATTTCTTTCATTCTCTGCATGCTTTCCTTCATGAGAACCACTCTCCCAATGCCTACCCCTCCAATCGAGACTTATATTGCAACCTTCTGAGGGTATAAAACTGGGCTTTTATCAGTAACTCCCAAGAGAATCTAAAAGAGATCCGTGAACAAACAGATATGGGGTTTGAGGTGCCTTACCAGTTAATAACGCCTGAAGCCTCTGTAGATGTTTATTCCCTGGGCTCACGAGAGCATCCAGTGCTCTTCCATTACACTCACAAAATCCTGAATGCGTAGATCTGACCAATCCTGTGTATGTCCAACAAGTTTCTCCTTGGCGAACCGCCCTACCTTCAGTTGCACATTTATCCACTCTCTTCCAGAGCGATGTAAAGACAAAACCCTTTAATAAGCGTGTTTGTTTTTGTTTTGTTTTAGCAAAATGCATGCTTTTGTAATGTAGAGAGGCGCCCCCCCCCCTTCTCCACCCCACCCCGAGCACCCGGTTCCCGAAGGAGGATTCCCCTCATTTCCACCTTCTCTGCAGGAAATTGCTAGGCTGGAGGTAGAACACTTAAAAGAGAAAGAGCTTGCCTGGCAAGTTTTCAATGTTTCGGTAAAAAGAGAAGCTAAAAATGCAGAAGCGTGAACCTGGTTGTTTGGCGTCGGTGCGAGCGCTCGCGAGTCCCGAGCCCGAGGACCACCCCTCTCGGGCGCGCAGACCCCCTCACCCCCGGGGCTGGCGGCGCACCTGCACCCCCCAACTCTCCTCCCCGGCGCCCCTTGACGCCCCCCGCTCGCCCAGCGCCCCCCGGAGCCGGCGCCGGTCCTCACCTTGCGTGAGGGCCAGGAGGCAGTAGTGAAACAGAAAGCCCCGGGGCGTGTTGCAGCGCTGGAGAGCCCGGGGTTGGAAGCTGCCCCAGCCGTACGGCCCCTCCTCATATTCGGACAGCGACCCGAGCCCGGAGGCATCGGGAGCCCCCGGGGGCTGAGGCGACTCGGGGCGTTCCAGGGGCTCCTGAGGCGCCGGCGCCGGCGGCGAGCCCGCGTCCGGGGTGGACACGACGGAGATCTCGATGCAAGGCGACGACGCACAGAGGCGGCGCGGGTTTTCTGGGCTGGAGGCGACGAAAGCCGGGTTCTCGATGCCTTTGCAGTTCTTCATGATCCGGGCGCGTCCTCCCGACTCCCTGGGGCTGCCGCACCCGCAAAAAAATAAATAAATAAAAATTAAAAAAATAAACCCAGGTTCCGCTGGGGCTCCTCCTCCGGGCAGGTGGCAGCGCCCCCACGCGGGGCAAGTCCCCGCCTCCCCGGCGTCCCTCTCAGGGGCTCTATCGCCGCCGCCGCCGCCGTCGTCGTCGTCGTCGCTGGGAGCCTCCTCAGCGAGCTGGCGGCCGTCGGCCTCGCCCACCTGTTGCCGCCCGCGCGGAGGGAGTCCCCGCCTCCGGGGCGTCCCTCTCAGGGGCTCCCCGGCGTCGTCACCGGGAGCCTCCTCAGCGAGCTGGCGGCCGCTGACCTCGGGCGTCCGGCCCCGCTGCGGTGCGGTAGGCCCTCGGCCTCGCCCACCTGAGGCCGCCCGCCCGCCTCCCGGGCGTCCCCCTCAAGGGCTCTCTCGTCGTCGCCGTCGCCGAGAGCCTCCTCAGCGAACTGGGGCCGCCGGCCCCCTCCTCAGCGAGCTGGCGGCCTCTGACCGCCGGCCCCGCGGCGGTGCGGTCGGCCCTCGGCCCCGCCCACCAGGGGCGAGTCCCCGCCTCTCCAGCGTCCCCCTCGGGGATTCTCCCGTCGCCTTCGTCGCCGGTCATAGCGCGGCCCGTCCGCCTTCCGGAGGGTCGCCCCCGGGTCCCCCCGCGCCCCTTCCCAAGGGCTGAGAACCGACAAGACGTTGTGGGAGTCGTCTGGCCACCTAAGGGCAGGCTGTGAACACACCTGCTTCAGGAGATAATTCCAGAAACTCTCCCGCAGCCTTCTTCCCTTGAACTAGTCGCTCAGTCGTGTGGCCCCCCTCTTTGCGACCCCATAGACTGTGTAGCCTACCAGGTTCCTCCGTCCATGGAATTTTCCAGGCAAGACTACAGGAGTGGGTCGCCATTCTCCAGGGGGCGTCTTCCCGACCCTGGGATCGAACCCGGGTCTCCCGCATAGTGGGCAGACGCTTTACCGGCTAAGCCACCCGGGAAGCCTTCCCTTACCGCTTAGCGAATCAGGCTTAGGTCTGGACTCTCAGGGATCTGAGCCTACACAGGTACAGTATTTTGGATTCCGTGAGCATCGTGCTAAAAGACTTTATACCTGTCATCATCCCTAGAAACGGAAATCCCTACCAGCCCTCACCGCTACAGCCATTGGCATGATAACCACCTTTTTTGTAGCTTTCACTTCCCCCAAAGTGAAGGAATACAAATTAAGAAACTTTAAAGCCATGTATATATATGATATTCTTTCTGCTGAACATTGCATCTCTTCAGATGAACAATGCTGATAGTGTAAATAATTTCTGTCTGTGGAATAAATAACAATAACTCCTTGAAGAACTGAACACCACTATGATAATTGTAGTTACAATTCATTCATTCGTCCTTTCATTCATTCAACAAAACGTGTTTATTTTCCGGATGCCAAACACTGTTCGAAGTTGTGAAAAAGTGCACAAAAACGGAAAAACACCCCTAGGCTTACTGTGCTTACATTCTGATGGAAGACAGACAATAAGTAATAAATATGCAGTGCGTGTGTTCTCAGTCGTGTGACTGTGATCCCGTAGACTGTGGGATTGACCCTATGGACTGTGAGATTTTCCTCGACAAGAATATTAGAGTGGGTTGCCATTCCCTCGGCCAGGGGATCTTCCTGACTCAAGGATGGAACCTGCAGTCTCTGTCTCCTGCACTGCAGGTGGGTTCTTTACTACTGAACCCACCTGGGAAACCCCTAAATATGTAGCTTGCCTGCAGGCGAGCTCAGACCTGTTGAACTCTGAGATCCTGTGCACGGTAGCCCACCAGCCTCTGTCCATGGACTTTTCCAGGCAAGAATAATGGAGTACATCTCTACAAATGCTATGGAGAAAAGTAAAGCAAGGATAGGCTGGGAAGTGTGTTTTGGGGGAAGGGGGAGAATTTGAGGCAATTTTAAATAGGGTGGTCAGGAAAGACCTCCCCAATTTTAAATAGGGTGGTCAGGAAAGGCCTCAGGTTTTTAAGGAAAAACCTAAAGTAAGGGAGGGAGTCTGGTATGTTGGGGAAGTAGAGTGGGCTGGAATGAGATGGTTTGGGAGCACTAGAAGTTCACGGAAGGGGTACAGGTGGGGTGGGAGAGGAGTGGCGGGGGCCAGACCCTGTAAGCCTTTATAAGGACTTTGGCTTTATTGTGATTAAAACAAGAAGGTTTGGAGCTGAGGTGTGACACGATCATGGTACGATTAGATTTTCAAAGAATCCATTCTCTCTCCCCTTCCGAAGGTAAACTAATGCATCTGAAAGTAATGTATTTTAAACAAAGACATTATGATCTTGGAATGTTTATCTTTCCCTAAATGAAATGTTTATTCCAAAAAGGAACATAAGAAAAACCACAAATACTGTCTTTTTGCTACGTAATCAGGGCTACATACACAAAGCTGTGAGACGTCGTAAGACTGCAGACTGTTAAGGAACCTCCTTCTTCAGATCTGATTATTGGTTATGCTGTGCTGTGCTGAGTCACTCAGTTGTGTCTGACTCTTCCAGACCTCATGGACTGTAGCCCGCCAGGCTCCTCTGTCCATGGGATTCTCCAGGCAAGAATGCTGCAGTGGGTTGTCATGCCCTCCTCCAGGGGATCTTTAAAACCCAGGGATCGAACCCAGGTGTACCGCATGGCAGGCGGATTCTTTACCATCTGAGCCACCAGAGAAACCCAAGAATACTGGAGTGGGTAGCCTATTCCTTCTCCAGTGGATCTTCCCAACCCAGGATTCGAATTGGGGTCTCCTGCATTGCAGGTGGATTCTTCACCAGCTGGGCTAGCAGGGAAGCTCCAATTATTGGTTATAAAAATTCTCAAACAATATGTCTGAACTACATTTAGCAAAGTTAATAGAGGTCTCAGATATTACTGAATACTATTACTGTTGTTATTGTTGTTATTCAGTCTCTCAATCATGTCAGACTCTCTGTGACCCCATGGACTGCAGCACGCCAGGCTACCCTGTCCTTCACTATCTCCCTGAGTTCAGGCTCAGATTCATGTCGATTGAGTCGGTGATTCTGTCTAACCATCTTATCCTCTGCCACCCGCTTCTCCTTCCTCTGCCACCACCCCCGTTCAATCTTTCCCAGCATCAGGGTCTTCCAATGAGTCTTTTCCACTACACTGCTATATGATATCATTTTCAGTACAGTAGTATTATTATTCATTTGTTAGGGCCCTTGTATCGAAAGTTCTACTGGAGTACTTCACTAAAAATTAATCATGCTATCAAGTTCTGGGCTTCCCCTGTGGCTCAGCTGGTAAAGAATTTAGGTGTAATGTGGGAGATCTGGGTTCGATCCCTGGGTTGGTAAGATCCCTTGGAGAAGGGAAAGGCTACCCACTCCAGTATTCTGACCTGGAGAGTTCCCCGGACTGTATAGTCCATGGGGTCGAAAAGAGTTGGACATGATTGAGAGACTGAAAAACAACAATAACAACAGTATAGTATTCAGTAATATCTGAGACCTCTATTAACTTTGCTAAATGTAGTTCAGACATATTGTTGGAGAATTTTTATAACCAATTCTAGAGACAGTTTTCAAGTCTTCCTGTCCTCATTTAACACCTGGCTAATTGCCTGCCCAAGAAGCTACTTCTAGATTCAGTGCTAATGCCTCTCAAACAGTAGTAATTCAGTAGCACATGCTGGTCCTATCCAAGTGTAGCCTTACATCCAGAGATGAGAGTATGGTGATGGAAAGGTTATCATTCATCCTGAAACAAGACGTTTTATTTATTATAACCATAGACAGTAAGCTCACTTAGTGTAGCATGGAGGAATGTTTGTCAAACACTATTACTTCTTAATGAAATAAACTAGAATTTAGAAGAAAATTCACAGTGGATGACACATAATATAAGTACTATTTTGTAAAACTTTTCTCACTTATATACTAAGCCTATTTTACTGATGAGGGATTGAGATATAAAATATTTATCTTATTTTGAACAGACATACATTTGTGGCTCAATGGGTAAAGAACCCACCTGCCAATGCAGGAGACGTAAGAGACAAATGTTCAACCCGTGGGTTGGGAAGATGCCCTGGAGGAGGACATGAAAACCCACTCCGGGATTCCTGCCTGGAGAATCCCATCGACAGAGGAGCCTGGCGGGCTGCAGTCCAAGGGTCACAGAGAGTTCAACACGACTGAAGTGACTGAGCGCACACGCATGTACATTCTGTTTTTTATCCCCACACAGTCAAAAAAAGTCTACCTTGGCCTAAAACCTAAGGAAAGAGTGCAAGTGGAAACTAGCATTTTTTAAATGTCCCATCATTTAAACCTTATAAGAGCAGTATCTACTATCATCTTCATTTTACATATTAAAGAAACTACACTCCAGAAAGGATTAGTAACTCTTCCAAAGTCATATAACTAATAAATAGTCAACCACTTATTAAGGATTTCAACATACTTCTCTCAGTTAGATCTCTTCCCTGGCCTCTGCATTTTCTCTCTTGTAATGACTATAGCCTGTATTTCTGGTTACAATTATTGCATAGCAATTCTGAGAGATCAAAACTCATATTTACTTCATATTGATGAGGTCTGGAAGACTAATGCTGCCCTGAATTCCCCAGATTTTGCAAATATTCAAATTAGAATTGGTATGTAATCATCCTAGACTCATTGAAAAAGAGTTTCGACAAAAATAAGTGGTGTTTAAATGTATAAATAGATATGGTCACCATTTTATCTCTGAAATACAAATTAACTTAACCAATCAGCAAAGTTTGCTTGATGAAATGTAAGTACATTCATAGTTTAAAACTATTTTGCAGCTTTGAATGAACAAATTCAGACTGTCAAAATCAAAGAAGCATAATCTTCATGCACTTAAATCCATGCTGGCTAAGGCGAAATCACCACTCTTGCTGTGAGGAAGAGTAGAATTTTGCTGAAAGATTAGCAAAAGTACCATTGCTTCATCTTAGGTTCTTCTTGCTCTTTGTGAAAGTGCAAGAAGTACTTTCCTGTTCCCTCACATCCTTTATGCTGCAATTTTAAAACTAAGGGCGTTGAAGTTTGC